ACTTAACACTGACACTTCTACATATCGATGAAAATACGGCAGGCCATCAACCGATACCTTCTTAGATTATTCAGCTAACGTGGGACAATCATAGAAGCATCTCGGTTCGAAAGTTGTTTTGGAAAATGTATACAAATATTTTGCGTAGCATTTTAGGAATTTGAGGTAATTAACTAGTAATGCTTGGTCAGACTCTTGGTTGTTTACTTTGCTATTCGCTTGTCTCATCTGCTTTTAGAGCGGAGGAAGTCATGTCTATACAGTAACTGCTGTGTCCAAAGACAACCAAGAAATGCAAAAATGATTCCGAGCAAACAGGCTTTCCGAACGTTGCTAGTCAACAGAAGGCAAATGAGCTAATCTTCGTTTGCTGAGAAAAATATCGAGTGTCAATCGCAAAGTTAGAAAAGTCGCGAAACAGGCTGTGGCCGAAGACACATGCGCAACAAACTCGACGCTAAGGAAGACTCCGCTCAACAAACGGGTATCATCGGCGACTTTTCTTCCATATCACACCAACGTAACCCTTTGGTGGCTGTCGATATTTCAGATTCAAAGGAAAAATCCCTTCTCACAGTGAAACCGAGCCCAATTTCACCTTAAAAAGCATATCACTCGTGACTGCCATTTCTATTCTGGTGACAATAACATGCCTATGATGAATACTTTTAGACGAATATATGGCTAAAATGAACACATTTTCGGGGTTGCTTTTTGATACTCTTTTTTGTTGATATTTTCAAACGACGATCCACATTAATTCTTGTTTTCGATCAAAGCTGTTCCATAGTGGATCGCCACACCTGCAGAAGACTGTATGCATAAATTGCTCTGTTGCTTCTGAATCAGCATTAGCATTTCAGCAAAACTTCAGCAGGACCACTACAGACGTTTTAGTTAGTTCATGATGGATGCATCGTCTAACTAGCCGAAACAAAGACAGAGTTGATGAATCAAATATGACAGCCCTGTCGGTCTAGTCTATTATAGCGCGATGTTACTAAATTACGCCGTTTCGAACAACCAACTATGAAACGTCACAACTTGAAGCTTCAACTTTGGACTATACGCACTTCACTTTTTGACGATTATGCCTCTAGTCAGAGTTGTTCAATTGCTAAGAATGTATGGAGGTTTTCTATGGGCTATGGAACCAATAACGAAATTCTCGAGGAAAGTGCTTTTTAGTAATTCATCAATGTTTTCATTCAAAGACACCGCCATCTTCGGACTGTGGTTACGCTCCATTGATGCTTGGCTCTACGCCCATGTACTGACCAGTATAAACCGTAGATATGGACAACGACGAAGGCGAAGAATTGGGTGTGCGGGCGGAGCTTGCGCATTCCGCACCTGAATCGTAAACATCTAAGGCAGTGCGGTGTCGTTAGAGAGGAAGGAGAACAGCGGGAAGATGCGAGGCTGGAGAGAGAAGGCGAGAAGGTCTTGACTGTCTCGTCCCGACCACGTCCGCCTCAGCAACGATCTCGCCGATTTCTCCAGTCACTCCCGAATCCGAATCCACGCGCCTCCCCTCCTAGCCGCTGCGCTGCACTTGCCATGGCCAACCACGGACCCAGCTATGGCCTTAGCAGAGAACTAGAGAAGAAGGTAAAGCTTATTTACATAATGGACGATTTCAGAGAACTGAATGTTTCTAAACGGCTAATTTTCTTTTCCACATTGTCACTTTTATTTAAGTTGAAGTACGAAGAATGAATAAATATGGTAGGAAATGAATCAACGATGAACTATCAAAGTTGTAGATGTATTCGAACAAGCTATAGTGTTACGAAATGTGAAAATATTGAGATTCGGACGAGGAACCGAACCCTCATATCTCTTTACCTTCTTTTCTTGATCTGACAATGCAATCTTTCTTTCTGACAGCAATGCATTCAACGTTGTTGATTTCTTTGTTACGAGTACAACGCAATGGGTACATCCCTAGAATTACTCCTGATATGATCTTCATAATTTCTTATTCTTCTTATTCCCACTTTGCTCTAAATTCTTTCATCTAACAAAGTTGTATGGCGGTCCCAGTTTTCAGAGCTGATTCATAAAATAGTGAAACACAGTTTATGTCGAAGCAACACCTCTTAATCAATTGTAAGAAGAGTGATTACATATGGGAATGAGACGTTAGAAATATTTGTTAAGAACCATTTTTAGCCTTATTATTACATAATCTTCCAGAAATCGTGCTCACGGTATCCTTTTTTCACAAATCCACTCATTCAAATGTATCATATCTGTAAATCCTAGCCTGTTGAACTATCTACTGAGATCCAGTTATTCTTATGTTGCTCATTGTTATTCTCATAAGAGAACATAACAGTGCTCAAAAGAGCACCTTGCTTTTATCACTAATGCTTGAAGTTGATCGGATTCACTGCGGTTCTCATCGAAAGAAATGATTTCTTTATTGGAGGTGTTGTTCTCCGAGATAGGCTGACGCTCCAGAAGTCCTCGTTCGATGCTCGAATGAGGTTCTCCTTCCGTCGGCGCCAAGGATACGGGCATTGTCTCGATGGTTCGCAACAGTTCTGCGTCCTTAAACGCGGTTCCAATTTACGAGCATAGTGCAACCACATCTGTAAAACATACGTAGAAGAAAGAATAACAGAAATTATCGACAAGGTGAACTAGTTTTTTTTGTGATTTTCTACCTACGAAACTTTCCATGTGCTAGTTTCTATAGGAACGGTCGTTAGGGTCTACAATGCACGTTTCGTTGAGAAAATCTGAAAACCAAATATTTACGCTTAATCGATTTGTATAGGAGCAGTTTTAGTGAGGGAGGAAATTGTTTCTTTTGGAAGTATGGAAGATCGAGGAAATATACTATGGAAGATATGCGCACATCTGTGCTCATAATTCAATACAGAGATATTGAGAACTACTCCTGAGCGTTGTTTTTCACTGCTCGGCCTATTCTTATTCTTCTCTGGCAAGACAAATTCTCGAGAAAAATCGTCTTCAGAATCTTTGCATCTTTCCATACATCTGCTACGATAGAATTCTTAACAGGAATTGCCTTTCATGGGCTTCTTTCGATAGCTGCACCGTTCTCCGTTCTATTTTTTGGTTAAATCATTGGAATTACTTTAACTTCGTTTAATATTTATTGAGACGCACAAAGTGAGGAGATTAGCAAATATTACATGGATAGTAAATCTATCCAAGCATAATTTCTGATTATACAAAAAGAACGCTAAGAGAGTGTATTATGACTAGGAGTGGAAATTCGTAGGGTTCTGCCATTCTTGCATCAGCTGATTACCTGGAAAATAGCTGAGCTTCTCAGCAGGAAAATATTCCTCGATGGTGTTTATATAAAATGACTAAAAGTTACGCCTTTGTTTCTCTTTTGGCTCCTCTGTTTGAGGGAAGCATTGTACAAGTCTTCTAAATTATTGGAAGTGGGTTGCCTTCAATTCCTCTCCTTCCATGTTTCAGCAAGAATTGGGATGGTGTTATGACATCTGTAACGAATGACTTTCTTTGCGGAGATGTTCTCAACAGAATGAGAGCGAATTAGCCATCAAAAGGTGGGTGGCTGGGCGACATCCCGTTCCGCTGTCCTGAGGTCTCGCCCAGCATTACGCGATAACACGCATTCTAATAATTCTCAATAAATAAATAGATGAATAAATAAGTAAATAAATGACTTTATATTTATGTACATAGAGAAATGTTTACATCTAGAGAGAAATGGAAGCAAATTAATCTAGATAATACTTTGGAAAACTGTTCTTCAAGATGATTAGAAACAGATTTGTTATCCGAGTAGGCTTACTTCACGGACTATTCAGTTGAAACTAAGGAAAGAAAAGTTCGTGATCGATCCATATGAAATATGCTACTTCAGAAAATTTTGTGACAACTTCATAAACGATAACGAAGACTATCAATGCAATGTTCGTCTATGCATTTCTTATTTCCAGTGAAACTCATACGTGCGATGTTATAACCCTGAGGCTGAATGATATTTAAAGGCACTAGTAAGCGTGGCATGAAACCAATGGAATGATTTGGTTTGGTTTTCTCAGCAAAGAATAACCACAGATTACCAATGACTTAGTAATGATGATTCTTCATATAAATATGACTTTTCTCAAGTAAGAAAGTAAGAAGTGGAAAACTAGGAAATTCTAACTAACTTAGATCAAATCTCTATCAAAAACATGCCGGGCAACGGTGTCCAATCGCGTCAACAATTTACGAGAATAGGTTTCCCTTTTTATGGCCTCTATTGGGGAGAAATTGCCGTTTTAAGCGACAATTTCTTATGTAATCATTGCGTAGTAGTCAATATTATCACTCCTTCTCTGATCTGTTTTCATGCTATGAACGCGGCACGCAAGTTCGGGCCCTCATTTCCTCCACATTAGTAAGCCTTTTTTGAGAACGACTAGAGATTCCGCTTTTGTTGATATCTTCTACTTCTTACCACATAGTATCTATTATTGGCTTTTGCGCTTATGTGAATTTTTTTTTATTGCATTGCCTGATTCGTATACTGTCGTCCATCACATGGGTTCGTTCCATGCACAAAGAGTTCCAGTTTCCACTTCCAAAATTCCAGAAAACGAGATCTAATGGAAGGGTATATTATACAACTTAGTGAACAGCATTCACTTCTACGAATTTTGTTGATCGTTGTAAACCAGCACTAATCAAAGCGATTTGGTTGACGCTCGCGCTCGTAACAATTCAAAGGTCTTAGAATGTACTAGAACGATTCTGAACGAAAAAACGCTAATCGCCAACTTATGAGCATAGGAAGACGTGAATAGGATGGCAGATTCAGTATTGATTTGCTGCAGTGCAATCAGAACGTAGAGATGCTTCGTTCTGCTACTTTACTCAGTATCACCAACCCTGATTGTCTACCTTCAGCTGAGATATATACTTCATTTCCACTAATATGTTTAGGGTTCAGAATAACGCGTTCTTTCCTCACAAGGATAATAAATTATAATCGCGGACTGTTAATGACTGGAATTTCTTTTTCCGCACCAGTTATACGTCACGTCAATTTGGAGCGATCAGCCGGTTTGGAGCTCAGTCAAGGCCGCCGCCGAAGAGCCGGTCTTTCCGTGGATTTCATGGCCGCCCCTCTTTATGAGTCTGCATTGGCGGCGACGGTGGATCGATGTGATCCTGATTCCATCTGTCCATCGTCTTCTATTCACTCATCGTATACGTATGCCATCTATAGTAGTTATGGTGGTGCTAAGCTGCGATTGCGCACTTTAGCTACGATCATTCACCTTGGCGTAATTCTATACGCAATCCTCCGAACAATACACGACATGCCGAAGCACAGTAGAAAATAATTGAGGTAGCATATGGGCACCACTAACGTTTCTACGATGCACAATTTAGAAGGTGAGAGTAAAAGAAAGACATCTTTATGAATACGGCATTAATAATTTTGCTTCGGCTCAGCAGATTAGCCAGAAACTCTAGTAATCTGCCAACCTTAACATGATCGAAGCTTAAAAGAACTTTTTAAACTTTTTCTGAACCATCAAACATCGTAGAGATGATCGAATGTGTATTTCGTCGATGAGGAGCAAAACCGATGTTGAAAGAGTGTGGTGTCCTCTTCCCAAAGTAGTCTGATACCAATTTTCCGACTCAGAGTGATGTACGGCTTTGAAGCCGCGTATAGCAGCATCGAAGCAAGCATTTACAGGCATCATCTGCCCACTGCGTTCCACGCGTGTCCAACAGAAAGTTGGAAAAAATGATATGTTCAATCGACTGCGGCTAGACATTTTTTAAAGAGAGAACGACAGCAGATATTTGAAAGGAAAGAACGTGAAAAGATTGCCTGTGTAAAACAAGGAAACTTTCAGTTCCTAAATAATCCATGGCTATGCTAAAATTGTAACCGTTTAGATTATAGAAAACCCAGAGTGTCTTGACAACTCAACTGTTACTACATGGAGAGATAGAGATTCCAGGCATTCAGTAGCACTATTTGTTAGATAGGTCTGTGGTCTGGTTCGTTAATAACATTCTTCACTCCATCATCGAAAGGCAAAATCAATGCTTATGGCGAATCGCTTGAGTTTGAAAAGAGGTAGATTGTCAAATCTCAAAGATTTCATGACTCTCAAAAATGTCACCACTAGTCACTACATGCAATACTGGAAACCACACGTGACTTTTACTTCGATCGTTTTGTCGACCATATCCACGTTCCTCCATAGCAGATCAGGCCATATGGAAACGATTCCACATCCCGAAGTCACGCACACCATCTCGACGATTAGGCACCCGGCCCGTTGAAATATAGTGCTGTCACTGCTATGGTCATTGTTTACGGCTGATGTTGATATTGTTTAATAAGAATATTATTAACAACAGAAACACTTATGACGATTATACTGTTGTGTACAGGCAACTTATAGATTATACTTGGACACGTGTAAAATCTGTCGCCATTCCTCCCCCAAGTAATGAGTTGGATTTCAAGAAATTGTCTATTAAAATGAAAGGGTCATAATCGATAGAAACCACCCACCAGAAACATGTTATTGCACAAGAAGGGAAACCTAAATGGCACCAGAAGTACATACCGATTTGACTTCAATCTGAGATAAGCACAAAAAGTCCGGTAACGAGAAGATCAAACTTATTCACTAAGACCTTAGGAAAGAAATGTGACCTTGCTCGTGTACCTCAAGCGAGGAAAGCTCTTAGAAATGTTAGCAAGCAATATGAATAAATGGAATGCCCTTCGAGTCATTTCACTACCAGTTAGAAGACATGCGTGAAGCGCCCTACGTAGAAGGCATAATATCCTGGCGACAGAATAAATTCTCATCTTCAGGTTTGTCAACTCCTAAGGCTGTTAATTACTCTAGCCATCGAAAAATTGTCGGCAGTTATCCAAAAACCACCATCATCACGAATGTGTTAAGCGGTGAACTTTAAATGTGTGGGCAAGGGGCCACAGAGAGGAAAGCATTTGCAGATTATATAACAGCACTACCGTACGCGTCCCTCAGTTATTCATATTACCAGTCATTTCGAAAACTTCGAAATGAGTGGTGAAATTCGAACACTGGAGCAGTCCTCGAACTCCTTGAATGGCAAATTGTTTGGAAATCGAGTAAAAGTTGGAAAGAAAAAGAACTGTAGTGAAATTTATTGGAGAACTATTGCTGGGAGCAAATAATTTCGAATCATTTGGGTTTGAGTTTTTGGAACAACCATGCTGAATAAGTCAGAGGTGAAAGTTGTCGAGAATGTTTGTTCTCTCCTCTTTTAAACTGACGTCAAACGTAAACACATTCAATTCCTTGGTAAACTAAAGAGGTCGAAATTTAAGTACGCAGAAACTTCCTTTTCTTAAAAATAATTTTTGACTCAGTTGAGCTATCTGTATCTCAAACAGCCTTTTGCAGAACCAAGCGAGATTCAGTCTGGACGAAGCAATCGAGGTCCTTTTATGGGTAGAAAACGTGACCCAATTACCGTATTCATGCGATCCAACCACTTGTCAAAATGCGGCGGATGTGGCTGATTTATTAAAGGATGGTGTCCATTTATGCAGGTTAGTGCAATAAGTTATAAGTTTCATGGCATGTATGTAGCCGGTTTCTGTAAAAGTTCGTTGTTCGTCAATCTGTTTTTTCATGTTATTAACAGTGCGGTCGGTAAGTTAAACTCGTTACGTGGTACTACTGTTGGTAATCACCCGTATCACCTGTCACCGCGTTGATCGTCCTCGAGCGGGCGCCAATAAATCGACCATTTCTCCTTGTCGCGTGCACAAGTAACCCTATAGGTTCTGCTGGCTCTAGGAACCCCTTGAGTATCACATCTTTTTTCTAGTGGTTTCTTGAAGGGCTCTGACCATCGGCTCTACGATCTTCCTCTAGTTTGTTGGACATCCGGAGAAATCCAGTCACTAACGGCTCATGTCCATCGTTTGTCATTCATACGCATTAGGTGTCCAGCGCACATTATGTTCCGCAGTATGGCGTCCTGATTTTTGATCGTATACATAGATCGGGGCTTCGGATCCCTTTCCTCATTTGCATGATACGGATTACTCTTAGCATTGTCCTTTCAACTGCGCGTTCAATAACGCTGAGTGATCTTTCATCCTTCTTACTCAGCGCGGTATTTGAGGTATAAGTTAAGGCAGGAAGCACCGTGGAATCGAAAAGGTGGACATGGAGTCAGGTGTTCTTCGTTCTCGCCACTACATCCTCCATGCTTTTGAAAGCTCCCCAAGCCGCTTGCTTTCTCTTGCTCATCTCTGGAGCTAAGTCGTTCAACGTGTTAATTTCCCGATCTAGATAGACGTAACTGGAGCGTTCGGAGATATTCACTCCGCTGGGCGTGAATGGAACATGCGTAACCAATCCACTCCTCATGATCATTGTTTTCCTAAGATTTGGTCGATGACCAGTGCTTTCGCAGGCTTCATCAAAGTCGGCAGAAATTCGTTCCGCTTGGCTAATGCTTGGTATCATAAGAACGATGTCATCAGCAAAGCGAGGATGGTGTTATTACCGACCATCGATTTTCACTCCTATGTTGTCTCATTCATTCGAATTCGAATGTTCGCATGACGTTCTTGAGAGTTGTTGTAGATAAGTTTGGAGAGATGGTATCCTCTACCCTAACCCCTCTTTTTACGTCGATGCTAACATCATTATGGAATGGTAATATTTTGATTGTGAAGTATTTATACAGCTCACGAAGTATCTTTATACACTGTGTAGGGCCGCCCAGGTTGTCCAGAGTTTCCATAAGTGATTCCATCTCAACTGAGTCAAAGTATTCCTTGAATCGATGAATGAGGCAGAGCGGTTTCTTGTATCCTCACGACACTTCAGTGACTTGTTATTGTGTGGATTCGATCTATCTACTGAATCCTTTTCGGGGCCCTACTTGCTCACATGGCTCTCAATCGTTCAACGTTCTGTAAATTTTGTTTAGAAATGACTCGGCTGAAGAGTTCGTAGACAACATGTTCTTCACCGCCGAAATAGCTTGTTAGGTTTCAGAAGAGGGAACCGGTGGAACGGCATATCTATCCTCCTTTGTGTCATATGGGGTTGGAGGACGTGGCTATAGGAGAAATCCGAGTGGTAATCGTGAATTCTTCATTGCCTTTCTGGAAGCTGTAACTATTCTGTCGGGCCAGGTCGAAGTGCAGTTATCTTGGTTTTGTAATTGGCAAAGCTTCGGTGGGCTTTACGCGTGTTTTTCTCGGCCCCTGCAGCTTCGACCATAATTGCTGCTCTTCTCCGTCTAAAATCTTCTTTTATCGCCTCTGGGCACTGTTTTACAAGTCCTACGTGAGTTGGCGGTTGCCTAGAGCTCGTACGATTCCATGCTGGTGTATCTGCTGGAGTGTTTCTCCAGACAAACGCCTCTTGGAGACTTTCGAATTCTTAGTTTTAGCGTGAAGGTGTTGAATGAATAGTAGTAATAACAGTAATTAGCAATAATGATAAGACTAATAATAATTATGAGTTGCAGTATTGATAATAAGACAAAGGACAGGACAAAGTAAAGGACAAAGCTCTCGGGGTTGATTAATCCCCGAGAGATGCGCCATGCATTCCACTTCACTAAGCATCGTTTGGAGGTGATTGAATGCATATCTGGCCTTTACAGTGACTCACGGTGGCCCACCGATGTATCGAGCCAGTGCTGCTATCCTCCTAGACAAGTCTGGTACCAATTTGTCGACACCGGAGGGATGGGAGGCTTGGTTGGCCCCCGAGGCGGAATCGCATTAGTACCATGCTCGTGATGACAAACATCATTACCACTGTGCTTTCCGTCCCCGTGATTAAAACTTGGTGACCCATGGGCGCGGAGATCAATTCCACGAATGTGTTGCAGGGCGTCTCCGACCACTGCGCCATACGCGCTCTTTTTTACTATTGACAGTAATAGTAGTAATATCTACTGGAATATTTCGGTGCGCTCAGATAAGCCTTTCATAGCGATGGTTTTTCCTTAACTAACGAGAAACGAGAATTTCTCGGTTATTTGGAGTCTGTCAGGAGTTTAGAATTCCCTAAATTTATATAAGACTTCTATCCACCGCACTTATAGTAGCATACACAATACTGTGAAGTGTGCTTCAAATTTTAAATGCGTCTGGAATTAAAACTTCTAAGGAATTTGCAGCGAACTTTAGAAGCGACACATTTGCAAGTCTTACGTGGTCCTATTGGGCGAAACCCGCTTGTTCGATTTCCTTCACATCCAAAATATGGGCCTTTAAAAAAGTGTAAGAAATAATTCTCATGGGGTATAGAAAATCAGAGTTCCATCTTGCTATAACATAACAAATTGTTCCGTGTAGGAAAAGACCTATAGGTCCTAGTATTTCTCATTGAGATCGATACAGCTTTTTATGAGCTGAATTACGTTGATTCAAGGTTGAAAACGCCCACCGCATTCGCATCGTATGGCTCTTATGGAGGTCAGGTCCTCACGGTAGTGCTAACATGTAATTTGAGTCTCAAGATATCTTCGAATTACATTGTTGTGCTGTCTTCAAGAGATGTGGTTGGTTTTTGTGGGTGTGCCCGCCTGCAGTTCGATGATGTGTCTTCTTCTCTCCACATTAACATCTTAAATTCTGACCAAGCTTCTCTCTACCTGGAGTTGAAAGGCAACCTCGCCAGGACCCCGAGTAACCATAGAAAACAAGAAACCTAACGACCCCGTAGAAACTAGTTGCGCCATTGTCGTTAGGAGTGAAGTTTGCTACGATGCGACTAGAATTCGTCAAGGATACCATGTAGGATTTCCTTTTTGGGCAATAACATGGCTTTTATGATCTGTATTGACTATGAACCCTTCATTCTGATAGGTAACATTTAAAAAACCAAACAATTATTTTAATGAAGACTGGCGATATGCCGTGCAGATGGTATAAACCGATGGAAACCAGCTCCTTACCTCGGGATAGCATGTCTGACGTCATAAGGAAGACAATATATCCATATTCCGTAATTTGATATTGGGGGAGGTGGACATGACTGCGGAAGAGATAGAAGAAGAAAATGTGGATTCTTCATTAGCTTTATGGATAGAGTAACTTATTGAGTAGTCTAGAAATCGTAGGGTGATTATTTTCGTTTTAGGAATGCCAAAGTTCCGGTGAGCTTTGCAAAAGCTCTTCCTGCTTTCTAAAGTCTCAGCCAACATTGTCGCTTTACAGTCGTTAAGATCTTTTTTGTTGCTACCCCGCATCTTTACAAGTTCGAACGCAAGTTGTTCGTTGGCAACGGCTCATTTGAGTCCCCATTAGTGCATAAGCTCGAGAGATTCTACCGACAGACTACTGATAGTGGCTTCAAAAATAGTCTACTATTTTTAGCACCACGCGAGGGTGTTCCAAGAATTAGCTATTGGCAATTCTTGACTATGCTGCCGATAACATTACCTTACTAAGATCGGGGAACAAAACGAAGCAGTTCAACTTAGTGATTCCTGCATTCCGTTTCTTCGGGCTTCCGGCATCCTCTCGTTCATTGAAAAAATAAAAGAAATCTTGCGCGAAGTAGGCAGTCATTCGATCCAGTTTAGAGTTTGGAACAACAGCGTAATAAGCAAAACCTTCGACTCATGTAAACTCACAACTCTTCTGGTTTGGCGAAAAACATCATTTTTTGTAAATCAGGATGAACCATTTCCGCAAGGAATATGACCATCCTTGATCTCACTGTATTCCCATATGTTTCCAGTCGGAGTGAAAACGTTGACACTTTTTTAAACTTAGTTGTGTCTCGTGTGTGTGGAGTGCTGAATATAGATCGAACACCTATCGCAACGATAAGGTTATATATATATATATTTTATATATATATATATATGCGCGTCGTTTTCGTGTTCAGCAATCGCGAGGTTGTTAAACAGCAAGCATTTCCTTCCATAGAGAAACACAATACAATACAGCAAGAGCTGACGTTCCGGCGGTATCGCCTTCTTCAGAGCCTGGAAGGGTATACTCATATACAATCTACTAGGCCAAAGGTTTCAGTAACACTTAAAAAAAGACGAAAAACTCTGTGGTAACATGATCAACAGCTTCTCGAAAAACCCACCGCTTTTTTCGTGACTTCCACTGAGGAGGATTAGAACAGCTGATTATAGTCGCATATGGTTGATGACTGCACCGCCCCACATCAGAAAGTGATGCAAACATACGGGATCAGGTCGCGTATGACGTCTGGGCATTCATCCCTGCCATTGATTGTAGGGTTTTTGGCATTTATTCAAAAAGCCTCAAGAAGTTATCGCCCTGGTGTTTTGGACTCCTGTGCAAGGATATTGACTTTTACTTCAAAATCGTCTCTGCTATGCTTTTGTATCCTATGTGTGCCTAGAGGGGTGCTTCGTCTTAGTTTTCGTTTGCCATCAAGGTGTTCTTTTATGCGGATACACAAAGGTCTGCCCGTTTCGCCAATATATTCATCTCCGCAATTGTTACACGAGATCAGGTATATCGCACCTGAACTCATGCAATCACCGTCCCTGCCGTAAGGGCAAATTACGCAATTTGTTGTTTCACACAAACGGCCATTACTTTTATTACTTTTATATTCCTTTTCAGAGTATGGGCGATAGAGAGTAGCATCACTAAAATGTTCCTCTGTTATCTTAACATCCAGCTGGCGAGGAATAACTACGAACTCTCCCCTCTTATCACTAACAGACAATCTTATTGTTTTCGAGTTTATCATTTCTCTAATTTCGCGCATACCACATTTTTGTGCGGCTGTAAGGTTAGAGGTAAACTTTCTTCGAGGTTCTTGAGAACGCCGTCCGAAAACACGCGGAATTTTATGTCAACCCCATCGTTAGGGTCCTGCTGTCTAAAACACGTTTTTGGGAAAGGAGATGATGGTAGTGCCGCCGCCTCTTGATTTTTATCTCTATTTGGTGTTTCTTGCTTGGCCTGATAGCGGAGTCGATCTTGAAGCTCATAAAGGTTGCATGCCATCCTACGCAGGGTCGTTTTAGAAATGGGCTGTGATGGTGCGAAACTTGGGCCCAATTCTAACAGCGAACGCGCACTCTCAGACATTGTTATGCCCCCAATCACGGTGACCCCAGATTTTCTTGGTGCATTATTAACCCTATTTTGACTATTATCAGAAACGTAAAGAATTTGTTTGCTGTTGTTTCTTGAAACTGAGACACGTGTTACTCAGAAGATTTTCGAATTTTCGTTGTAAGGTTATTTTAGCATTAGACCTAATAAAACTGCATATCAATATTGACCCACCAACTAATCTCCTATATATATATATATATATATATATATATTGCGGTAATACTAATGGTAGGGCGCGTATAGCGCAGTAATCGGAGGCGCCCTGCCATGCACATGGGATCGAACCCTACGCCCAAGGCTCACTGAGCCTTCCATCACTCCGCGATCGGTAAATTAGTACCAGACTTGTATGGTAGGGTAGCAGCAGTAGCTCGATACATTGATAGGCCACCGTGAGTTATTGTAAAGGCTAGATATGCATTAAGCCACCTCTAACGATGCTTAGTGAAATCAAATGCATGGCGCATTCCCCACTTTTAACATTAATGGTACTAAAGGTCTTAAGAATAATACTGGTATTAAATATTATAAATTACTGAATAATAAGAATCGTGTACTTTTAAATACGTAGTGATATTTTCTAGTACTTCACAGCCGTTCAAATGAAAGACGCTTAATCGTGATTCCAGGCTTATCAATAGACTGTTGGACAATGGAAGCAGAGCACCGTTCAACCCGAAGCCGAAGATGCCATTTCAAAAGGCAAGGAGCAGCATAAGTGGTTGTTCGATCTTTAGGTGATAATGCAAAGTGCAGTTTGTTTCAGATGGAAAACATTTCCAATTTCCTGGAAGCGTGCAAAGCGTACGGAGTGGCTGAGATCAGCTGTTTTCAGACGGTTGACTTGTACGAGAATAAGCAGTGCTACAAAGTCATAGAGTGCCTCCGTTCACTGGCAGCCGTTGTAAGCACAATAAGTGGTCATTAATGCCCCACTTAAGATTAGTCAGAAAGTTCCAACAACCATTTGCTGTTCAGTGTTACAGTTATATAATTTTTAACTTCACGAATCAATATGCCGAGCAGGTAAAATACCCCAAAACAAATAAGTAAACAGAATGGAAAGTACACGCAAACAACTAGATGTAAAACAACAAACTTGTTGCAGTAGTAAACAAAAGTAGAGTCTAAAGCAATTAGTAGTTAATAGTTTCGAAATGGAAGCAATAATACGGTTCTGGAAACTAGCAACATTATGTGAAATATAACCACAATAATGCTGAGATATTTGCAAAAGTTCTGACCGCTTACGTCTGCGGTTGGAACCGAACGCGCTATCACTCTTTCCGGGGGCCAACATGTTCACCACTACACCATGCAAGTCCTCCGTTTAAATAAATAGTAAAAAAGAGTAGGCAGTAAATAAAAAGTGAGTACTGGCAACATTTCCCAGAACGAAAACTTTTCCGGAACTAGAAGAAAAAAGTATCTTAGTATCACAAAGTTTACTTTTTATTTTCTGCTTCTGCAATTTTCATCGCTAGGCATTATGCGAAATACAACCACAACGATGCTTAGATATTTGCAACACTTCGGACCTCAGGTGTATGTGGTGGGGAACGAACGCGCTGTTACCTTTTCTGTGTCTGACGCGTTCACCGCCACATCATGCGGGATTCTATAGATCAGAATTAGCTGAGAGACAAGCGAAACGAAAAAGAATCCTGCACCATGTGGTGATGAAAGCACCAGCCCTCGGAAAGAGTAAAAGCGCGCTCGTTCCCCGCCCCAGATACCTGCGGTCCGGTGTTTTGCAAATATCTCAGCATTGTTGCGGTTGTATTTTAGTATCCTTGACATGATTTTTCAAGATGAAAAAAAAACGAACAATTTTAGTGACAGACTCAAAACAAAATTTGGAATGTTGCAATTTTGAAGTCGAAATTTCCGTAGTCATCAATATTCTCTGCTTTTTAAAATGGAGGCCTACTAATTCTACCTCATCTGGACCCAGTTTTCATGGAGGAATCACACAAAAACGATGTACCTGTTGTTTCAAGACTTGTAATTTTAACATCATACCATGATAAGGGCGGTAAAGAAAACAATGACTCTTTCTACGGTGATGAAATTCTCGAAGTATCTAAGCATGTCCCACAGAAAAGGTACAATGCCTTTGCACGACAATGCTTCACCATATGTGGCACCACAGCAGTTGAACGAGTTGATTTAAGGAACTCTGCCTCATCTACCATACTCATCGAACCTTTCGCCAAGCAACTTCCACCATTTTTCTCTAGCAGCTCGAGTGCTACTAGCTGAGAAAATCTTCAACAAACAAATCGATGCTAAAATTATCCCAGAAGAATTTATCGCTTCCACAGCACCGGAATCCTAGGCTATTCTAGGTTATTTTCTGTCTTACTGACAGAAATATTTAGATGCCAATGATTGTTTTGAAAAATAAGGTTGTGTTGGAAACAAATGATAACAACCGTTATATTTCCATCCGCCACAATTTCAGAAACTTATTCTGTTTTTATTCGAGCTATAAGATTTTTCAAATGTTATACCACATCGAGTAGTTTTTTAGTGATTTCGTAGTAGTAAACAAACTGAAATGTTTACTGAAATAGTTAAGAATTTGATTCCATATTATAGCTCTCAGTAACTTTTACCCTAATTCCTAATACACTGGAAATAGTGGTTCAAGGATTCCTTAGGTGCAGACCGTAGGGATACGATTTAAACCGAATACGCTCGTCACTACCTCTCGAGTAGTAAAAATGAACAATTTTATAGCTGGTTATTAACAACCAAAACTTACTGTTTAGTTTCAGATTACCCATAACCTATTGTAACATCGAGTACTATTCATTACTGTTATAATCAAGATTACTAATGTTGCACTATCAGGATTTAGGTGGAATTAGTACTTGCCAAATTGACGTTCTTCCCATTTAGGCTCAGGCTCGTGGCGCTAACGTTGAGTTTCCACCGTGGGTGGTCCGATTGTCACATAGTCGTCCCCGAAAGTTTCCCGAGTCAGTGATGCGACGAGGTGAAATGGTCATACCTCTACAGGTAAAGCTTCCTCTACTACCTTACGTATAGAGAGTTTTCTCGCTCTGTACATAAGTAATTGCGCCTAGAAAATTTCGTTCTTTAGTTTTTATCACTTGGTTTAAACATAATAATCAAAGTAAGAATCATTACTATTTGAATCTGCACATTTTTGCCAACAAGATCAAGTTTAGTTATGTCAATAACTTAAATAAAGCTGGAAGAAATTCTGCGAAATAAAGCTGGAAGAAATTCTGCGATTTTGCGAGGAAGGATTCTGCGAAAGCATCTTTAGCAACGGGTTTTCTTTTTAAGACTTTCTCGGTTAGTAGTTGTCTAAATGCCTGAGAAAAGTTTTATTTGATAAACGGCAGTTCCGGTGAGCTGTGGAGCGTTAGTTGTTCTGCACGTGGCTGAACGCTGTAATGCGGGATTGGGATATTTCTCTGCTGGTCGGATCTGGATACATATGTTGCGGTTTTGTACTGCATGTAAGCTCGGCTTTCGAAAGCGCTTTTAGTATCGGTCATATCAGAGAACCAAACGTTGTCGACTGTCGAATAATATCCATTGTTTGTTTCACGTCGCAGTCGCCAAAGAAATAGCTCTTTTTTGGAAAAAAAAGTAGGCAGGAAAAGCTAACGAAGTTCTTGCTGCCATTCGTTCAATTCATGTGGCTTTTATATATCGAGCCTTATCACCTCCCAATTTCTTCAAAATCATTAGCGATTATTTAATCCTGAGTGTTGAGTTTTCCTACACCATCCAAAGTAGATTTTGGAGGGGCGGCATCGATTTGGCTTCAGGGTGATTCGCCGTCAGACGCTCATAGGCGCGGGTGGCTTTCGTCGTAGATTTCTGACTGTCAAGAAAGCTTAGGAACACTCACCTTTGAAAAACCTTCCTGCGGCCCATTCTCTGATGACATTTCGGCTTTCTATATCGCTGCGTTATATTGATATTTGAACTTATGAAGCACAACAGTACGATTTCCACCATCAGTGAACTACTACAAAATCTTTGTGAACTTCATGTTGACAAAGTCCATCACTATTTCTGCGTCGACCTAAGATTCTTCTCAGAAGCCTACTTTCTTCAATCACTAGCTTTCTCCTGTTCGTGTCATATGCTCACGGTAAAGCTACATTTTACTATTTACGACAAATAAGACACATAGGACAAAAAGCCGACCAGTTTGGCATTGTGGCCTCATTTTCGCGTACTCATGACATGTCCAGAACTAATCTCCATCACTGACGATTTTAGAGCTCGAAGCCAGTAATCTCATCGCTTAGCAACGACAGATTGCTTCTTCTTGGCTGTGTCTGATTTATAAGATCTATCAAAATTAGTAGTTGCTATGAATACGAATAAAAATCTTAGACGGACTACATTATACCGGATGATCGCCAAGCAGCGGCTGTTTATTTTTTCATTCAGTTTCTAAACAAACCAAAGCAAAACATTTTAGATTGTTGCAGAAAGTCCTGTGTTGCTTGTAGTGTCAATTTCAGTATGGAACGAACAAATGTGCTAGTCAAAAAGGAATGACACCGTATGGCCTTACACGACAGATAAAACCTGACCCATCGGGCTGATCTGATACGTTGGATTTTTTATGTTATCGACTATGCACACAACATTTTCTGATAAAATCCATTTATTTGTTAAGGTCTTAATTCTAGTGATAACCTGAAGGTAGATTTCGTTTAAGTATATTTACAACCACTACCAATTTATGCGGTTTCTGGGTAGGTAAGGAAATTGGATCGACAGCGGTAAGCTGTATGCATAACGCACAACACAAAGGATGAGAAACAAAACTACGTAGTATAGAAACTTCCGCCCTCATTAGGCATTAATATTCTCTTGCACGTTGAAAACAAAAATAGTGGTAAAAATTACTACTGCGAAAGGAACCTTCGAATGCCAAAGAAACTTTGCTAGGATGGCAATCTATCCCACACAAAATGGAAACTCCAAGAGGTCTCAGTTGCACAATTAACATTAACAGATAGATGGACCCATATAAAACAAATCGAATCACAAGCGCTTATTAGAGAAGTAAAAAAAAGCAATAGACCGTACAGTGCTAGTGGTAGAAAAGAGGAAGAGTAAATGTGATATCGAAATCTACAAGTGCTCACTGAGAATATTCACCACTTACTTACACTTACTTAAGATTCTTAAAAGTAGAACAACTAACAACGCACAGAAATTGAACACAGGACAATAACCCATGACCTGCGCTCTGTTGTAAATTCGTGCAGTATATAAATTGAGATAACGGTGTACCTGTAGTACGTGAACATCATTCCTTATAGTACAATATCTAATTAGCAACGAAGGAAATAATATAAGAACATGTCGACTTGGAGCTTCTATGAAGTATAAAATCTTTTAAAGAGCTAAAGAATTTTATAATGAACAAATTCGATATACCAATGCCGACTGACGAGGTGAGAACATCATGTAGAACAACTTAACAACATAGGAACTAAAGAATGATGACAAAAAAAGCCCAAGGGCGAATTAATATTGAATCAAACACCTGATCCGTGATGGCATAACTCGACGGTTTACAACAGTCAGCTCAAGATTACCGTGCTGATGAAGATCGTTGCCACAATAGGACGTAACACCTGCAAAATCTTTTTATCGTATGAAAATATCAAATTTGAAGGAACAAAGAGTTTCCAGAGCAAACTAAATTAGCTATGAAGACTCCAAACATTTAGATGGTGTAAAACTGGAAGTCGCTGTTTTTATGATAATACAATGGGCTGTTATTATACCACCTATTAATAGTACCTGACGTTTGGGAAAATTTCGCCTGAGCCTGTAATGGTCAAACTGACATGCAATCTACTCAACAAAACAGCTCCATAACCTCAATAGAAAAACTGCGAAGCCTAAATTTCAATCGTATTGAAAACAAAACAAAACAACTTCTCCCCAGGCTCACCGTTTTCGATGAGCCTTCCGCCGAGTATTTCACGCGGAGAGCAACCATGCACTTTTACCATTGATAGGTAATATGGTTCCCTCACGTTAAAATATCAGTCTGAGATGTATAAGACCACTCATGATAACGAAGTATTCCTCCTGCGGTTCTTTTCTGGATCACTGGAATTTATCCAAATGGCCTCAATGGTTTTACGCGCGAAAGTTTTATATTCCTGTGCACCGCTATCCTACTTTTACTTCGAAATCTTCCTCGTTATGTGTCGGTGTCCTATGGCACCCTAGTGGAGTATACGATCTAAGTTTGATTGTATCGACTAGGTGCTCCTTTACACGGACGCGGAGTGGCTGCCCTACGCGTTTCGCTAATGTATATTCGTCCCCGTACGTTTTATGAGAAATTAGATACACCATGCCCAAATTCATGCAATCTTTCATGCACCTTCTCTACCGTTACGGGAATCTATGCAATTTTGAGTTCCACATAGACGTTAGTAGAAATGGCTAAAAACTATCTGGCTTCATAAAGTTTTCGGTGGCATTTTAATCAACGCCATCATTTTTTCTAAATCGACCTGTTTTCGGCAACGTTTACAGCTCTACTTATTTGGTCGGAAAATAGGGGAAGGTTAAACAGGACCTTGTTCTCGCAAGAATTATCTCCTAGGGGCGTGGTTTTTCCTTTGCACCTATCTTGGGGAGTTGCAGTTTCGTGGCCATTGTAAAGGGCCGCTTACTGCGCCAATTTCAGAGATTTTTCCCTCCGCTTCCTTCTTATGCACACACCGGCGACTGTTCGGAACATGTTTTTCACAGGCGCCCTTTTTGCATGTGAGGGATGAGAGCAGAGGTAATGAACCAGTATGCTTTGACTTTCGCTGTCACTTAGTGATGCAGCCGTCTTTGGATGTGTTGAATGTTCAGAAATGAAAGTCACTTTCCTTTTCGTATGAATCTTATGTAATCCTACTGTTTGCTCAATGACTCAAAATATTTGCTCTTCTTGAGTAAAACACAACAAAACGCTCACCTATATATCTATAGCAAAGTAATGGCCGTTACCAAGCGTAATCTCACACAAGATCTCAGTGATATTAGATTGTAACATATGAAATGTCCGATTTCATTGTTTCAGGTTTCGCGCAATTTCTTCAAACAAAAATTCTGTTCCTTATGTATGTTTAATATATATTTTTGAACCTCATAGTTTGCTCTTTCTATCACGAATATCGGTTTTTTTTCAAGACTTATTATTTTAACGTTTTTTTTAACCTTTAACTTTGGTACGAAGCAACGTGATATTCGTGTTCTTTTTTGTACGAGTGGAACAGTGGACATAATAACGCGGCTGGAGACCAGAATATCATCAAGTTTACGGTAAAGGTAGTGTAACTGAATCAACAATGCAAAAATGGTTTAGGATATTCTGGTCTAATGATTTCGACCTCGAAGTTAAGGAATGCCGCGGACGTCCCAATGAACTTGACGACGACGAACTTAAGGAACTAATGGAAGTAAACACGCGAAAAACTGTTCGAGAGCTTGCAGATCAGCATGGCGTGCCCACAGGAACAATTTCCACTCATATGAATCGCAAAGAGACAAAAAAAAGTAGATAAGTGGGTGATGGACGAATTAAACGATAATCAACAAACCCGTCGTTTTGAAGTGTCGTCTGCTTTTATTCTGCACAAGAAAAACGACCCTTTTCTTGATCGAATTGTGACGCGACGAGAAGTGGATTCTGCACAATAGCCGACGTTCAGCTCAATGGGTGGATTGCGAACAGGCTCCACAGCACTTCCCAAAGCCGAAGTTGCACCAAAAAAGATTACGGTGATTGCTTGCTGGTCTGCAGTCGAGATGATTCATCGCAGCTTTTCGAATACGAGCGAAGCGATTACGGCAGAGAAGTATTGAAAACAAATCAACGAAATGCACCGCACGACAACGTCCGGCTTCACGTTGTGAAACCAGCGCTGCAGAAATTGGCTGAGTTGGGCTACGAAACTTTGCCTTATCCGCCATATTAATCAAACGTTTCGCCTACTGGCTATCACTTCTTCAAGCATCATGATAACTTTGTTCGCGAGAAATGCTTCACCAACCACGATGACGCAAAAAATGCCTTCAACGAATTCGCGCCCAGAACTCCAGAATTTTATGCAACTGGAATAAATAAATTTATTTAGTATGAAAAAGTTATGGCTATTTAAAACTTACATTTAAAATCGGACATTTCATGTGTTACAACTTAATACTTTAATGTGAGAGAGGCACATCATCCATTTATACCAACCCTGCGCGGTGGTTTTCACATGGAAATTCCAATAGAAGACTCACAGAAAACGGAACGTTTGTGAAGAAGCTGTCTTGTGCTCAATGCGATTGAAAGTTAGGCCTCGTAAAATCTGTTGAGTTTATGGAGGTATTTGACCGAATAGATTGTATGTTAATTTGACCTTTTCAGGCTCTGAAGAAAGCAAAATCTTCTGAAAAGCCGGTCATATTAATAAATGGTATAAATAGTATAACAGTAACCTCATGTGTACTTATCTAAAGAACAGCGACTATTTGATCAAGACCGCGGTTAATATGAAGTCGGTCCTGCGAACAATCATCAGTACTTATTTAACTACCTTAGTAAACCAAATTTCGTACATACCACTTTTTTAAACAAAACGTGTATCCCAAGTGAGCAAAAAAATTTTTTCCTTATTCGCGAACAATACATATCCGGGATATATTTATCTCTAAAATGATTTCGAAAGCGTAGAATTTTTAAAATCCGATTTATCTACGCTTTTTAACCCACGGTGTAACAAATTCGAGGCGTAATATGCCCTGATCTAAATGCACCTTATTTCCAGTTCTTTTGTTTGTTAAACGTTTTTTAGTTCTTCTACTCCACTGCTCTTCTAGTATAGCCATTGCACCAGTAGAAAACATACCCAACTTTTGCCAAAGGAGAGCCCTTGGGTCGAATTTGTTGGAATCCATTGGTCCGAGGCGATTTTTGCGCTTGGTACACAAAGGCAGTAACATAGAGATTGTTGCCCTTGTATTCATACAACCCTGCTTTGTTTGCTTACCGAAGCTCGACAGAATGAAACACCTTGCCACTGTGAGACTGAGAACTAAACCGTGATTGAACGAAATAATAGCGCTATTATTATAGAGCTATCACCAACGAAATTGATTGTAAAAGGAATAGGGACTCATAGAGTGAGTGTTCATCAATGTGTTTCCACACAATATTTTTTGAAAACCCAAGTCTACCACTCTTATTCTCATGATCCTCCAGCGAATGTGTTAAATGTAGAGCATTAATAATCATTTTGAAACGCGTTTTGCAATTTTCACAACATTAAAGCTATTACTAAAACAACTTCGGCATTTCTGGCAAATTCAATCTCGTGATATTTAGATAGTTCCCTGTAACACCCAGTACAAAATCTCCCATTATTTTGTTAGCTAAGACCATTCTAGGATGCAGCTAATTGAACATGTAGGCACTCTATCTGCTAGAATCAAGCCGATACAAACTTGAACTTCAATTTTAGCTATCGAAATGTCCTCCATATTCTCATAGTGGATCGCCACGCTTTAGTACACAAAATATCACTGCGATATATGAGGGTCTTCAATTGTCTTGTCTTCAACTTCCATTAAATTTTCTATTAAAGCAGTCATTTCCCAATGTCCCTGCACGCGCCAACCAAATTCGTCTGTGTAGAACAAGCTCTTAGTCAACGAGACATAAACGAGGGATACCAGTTACAAGTATTAGGATAACTTCATTCAATCAATAATTCGTCCATAAACTATATAACATCGACACTCTTCCACTTCTAGAAATGGCTTTGCCAATGCGAAAGTATTCTATGCGAAAAAACGCCTTTACTGGAGAATCTTAACACGTTGTTTCGCCTGTATGGCACAAAAAATTTCATTAGTAAAAAGTTATTGTCGAAAATATCAGGCAGTAATCTTAGACAATCGTCTTCCTCAATACAGCTTGCACTGTATGCCAAGTGGAGATCACCTAACAGTTTTTTTTAATATTATCCCTTGCCATTATTTTAGAAGCAGCAAAATTGAATCCAAAAACAGAAGAGGAACATGAATAATTCTCATGGCAGTTAAATAATTTCCACCAAAACGATGAAACTCTCCAGTAATTCAACAGCAGACGATGCACTTCAGACCAAAAAAGCGATCGTCGAGATAGTGATGCAGTTCCACTGCGTAACCATTCATCGCTACTCTCATATCCTTCCTCGTCCTTATTTCCAACTCCACATCAACAAAAGCACGATAGACTAGAGAGTGCCCCCAACACCCTTAGTTTTTCTTCTCGATTATTGATGAACGATCGATCGCAAATGGAAATTAACTCAAATCTTCTGTCAACATAGGCCTACAAAACTCATTTTTTGCCCAGCACTTGATTATTCTACCGATCCCAATCGTTGTGATAAATTATGACGACCGTAAGATTGGAGGCAATAAAAGGAATGATAAGAATATCGAAACGTATTCTCAAGAATATGATGCGTGAGAAACGAGGAAAAACCGCGTACACTAGCATTCAAAAGAACCGAATTGTAAATTGGGCACATTCACTTTTTTGATGGGATAAGAGACCTTTTTGGCTACTTACAAAAACGTAAGCGCTATCTCACGCGGATGTCAGTAAAAATTACCGTGGCGAATGTGTTAACAATGCTAAACTCTACTCCGGCCTACATATATATATATATATATATATATATATATATATATATATATATATATATATAGATACATAAATATACGTATATATATGCATATATACATATGTGTACATATACGCATATATATATATATATATATATATATATATAGAGAGAGAGAGAGAGAGAGAGAGAGAGAAAGCATCACATTTTACGCGTTTCCATAGTCTATAGTTTAAATGAATGTAAAATGTGTTCTTGACAAATTTCATAGGTTACAAACTGAGATCAGAAAATGCAATTTCGACGAATTTACTTTCACGAATTCGAACTCAGGCGTACGCAGCGCAAATGGCTCGAAATATGAATATACGCCCAAGTAAGTGTTAACGAACGCACAGTGCAACGATGGTTTGAAAAATTTCATTATAATGGATTCAACCTCGTAGATGTGGGAGGTCGTGGATGTGTTTTTAATACCCACGACGACAAATTTAAGGATTTCCTGAAAGCAAATAAACACACTACTGTTCGAGAACTTGTAGAAGAACTGTTTATGCGTATTTCAACTGTTTCAGAGAATCAAAAACTGTTCGATAGTTGTGAAAGCTCGACAAATAGACCCCGTAGGAATAGGCGAAACGTCAAACTACCGAAATGCGAGCAAATGTTGGGAAATCGGTACTGTTAAGGTTTTGAAAGACCCTGCAACGAAACACTGCTTGAACCACCATACTCGGCGAAACTCTCCTCTACCGATAACCATTTCTCCAGGTATCTCGACAATTTTCTGTGCGAGAAATGTTTCAAAAAACCAAGCCAAGGTCGAAACTAACTTCAACCACTCCATCTTCTCCAGAAGCTTCGGGTTTTAGGCAAACGGAATAAATGTATTTATCTCTTAAAAATAATAATTTGTAGATTCGAATGCTTTTTATTTCGATTAGTAAAGTCAATTTTGCGCACAGATATGACACTTTAAGAAAAATTGGAACTCTAAATTAATTTCCCAACAACTTAATAACATAATTCTAAGCATCGTAGATCTTAAAATTCTGTCACCATTAAGATCAAAAACTATTCTTACCTCATTTGGGAGCCGCGCGAAAATCAGTGGTCAATAATGCACCTTGTAGAGAAGAACTAGAAATATTGCTTCCGTTCGAGCTTGAAGGACTCCCTGAAGAAGTCGATCCTCCCAGATATCCCGCTGTTCTAACAATTCTGGGCGAATCAACGGTAGTTGAATCCGGCAACGAGTCACGAACCTAGACCATGACACATTAAGAAACAATTTCGAATCCATAGATTGGACTATTTAAATCGACTCAGTTTACATTCAAAGTTTGCATTCAAAAAGTACATGGACACAATACCGTGTGCTTCCCCTCCAATTCCACTAGTTATTTAGTGAATCGATGTACAAGTATCCATTACTAGAATTCCAATTCTACAGAGTACGCAACGCTCATTCAACAGAGATCGAAAGCTCTCCGGTTTTCGTATAATGCTCCTGTTTTGGCATTTTGGTCTTGGCTGTATGGTGTAGAGAGTTAGCTAGCCTGGATCCCTGATATAACTTGGATATTTCCTACGTATCCAGTCAGGATATTCCAGAATAAAGATGAGGGTTATTTGCTGAAGTCAAACTTGAACTGTTCCTCACTTACCTACTACTTACCTCTAACCGAAATCACGTACAGGATATAAATTGCACACACGCAAATAGTCACACAGGTCTGTAAATCTTTCCTTGATGAGCCTACACGAGGTTGATAAGCATATTTAGTTTCGGTTAACGTTCTGACGTCTTCGTCTTCATCAGAACCGATGATCCGAGTCGATAGACCACGCTTGTTATTCGTTTCGATGTGGCGACTTTGCCTTCGTGTCGAGTCAGGTGTTCCTCAGCGGGCCATCTTCTCGGATGAGGCATTCTCACTCGGTGGTGCTCTTTAATGCAGGCTGCTGATGCTCGATATGACGATTATGTCCGGTGATAACAACTTGTTTTCCGACCGAACAATGCATCCTGCAGAAATCGGTTTGCAATATTTCGAAACCGACTTTCCTTTAACCTCGGTGTGACTGATCAATGTGTATTCTTTACTTTTTCATTTATTCTTTTCTTTATTCTTTCAAACATACTCTCATCTGTGGCTAGCCTATTCGCCATGAAAGTGCACCCTATGTACAATCACCATTACGTAGTCCAGTTACTCTTCACACAACTAAGATCCGTGGAAGCACAAGCGTTCAAATCGAAACCGTTCGAAATATGATGTCCAATGATCTACGTAGTTCTTAATGCCCTTAAATCCTTCTTTCTTAGATTACCAATGTTGAATAAATAGGTGAATGTTTGTATTGTAGAAAGCGCATCAGATGTTGAAAAATGCTTGGAAAATTACGATCTGGATGTGACCAAACCTTTCAACACTATTTTGAATCTACCAAATGACATTGGTAGGAACAACAAAATTACGCAAGTGCACACCACTGCTTCAATTGTAGTGGAATCCACTGTAGGAGATGTAGCAGTCGGAGTCTGTGACACCGTCAATGCATTTGTGGGTGGAGCCGAAAGAGAGAGCACACCAGTAAGAGAATTTGAACTGCTAAATAGAGCACACTTCGGCATTCAATGTTTGCGAAAAGGAAGAAAAAACTACAGGAACCAACTTGCTGGCAACGCTATCCGGTCGAGCTGGAGTGCTTGCAATTACATTGAAAGGAACATGTAACGAATTCCCTGAACCTGGAGACCGCGAATTAGAATCATTGAGATATTGCAAGAAATGAGTAGACACTGAAAGACTGCGGATTAAAGGAATAAATAATCCTCTCCTTACCAATTTTGAAATACTTACATATTCCATCGTTACTGTTTCCGTTACTTGCAATAGCACTGAACAACGTATTACATTCGTCATCTCCCACTCCACCAGAAGGTATTATTGCCCTAACTGGTGCTCCACCAGTAAGCATAGATGTGGGAATAGGTGTAACTCTTGGAGTTGTCAATGGTGAACTAACCACGGAACTACATGCAGACAGTGCTTGCTGAAAGCAAAGTGGTCTAAAACTACATCACATATTTAAACTGAGCATCGAAAAATAAACGGTATGCAGAAACTGCACATAGGACACTAGTACAAACACCAATAGTGCTAGATGAGTCAGGATGCTAAATCGGAGTAAAAGAAAATATAACATAAAGGTACTAAGTTAACCCCATTGATGAAATTGGATTTCCATGAACAAACGACAGCAATGCACTCTGTCAACAAATTAGAAAAATGTTAGCGCTGACCAATTCCAAATGCAATGCTACACTCGCTTTCCTCTTATGGAAAAGAAAACAACAAAAATCGAGTTGTTATATAGAAAAGTTGATCAGCGACTAACTGAACATAAATAAATAAGATTGCCGAATAATTCAAGCACCATTAAAGTCACAGAACTCCTACCTGTACTTGCATTTCGTATATTTTTTTCATGGGATTGATCGCTTTCGGCGCAATGAGTTTCTGAAATATGTGGGGAACAGTTGATGTGCAACAGTGAACGACAGTATTAAAAACAAAATCAGTGGAACATTTAAGCGGAAAAAGACAAAATATCTTTAAAGAAAACTAAACAAGCCGATAACACATCAACTTACGGCAGACTGCTCCGGTTTCGTGACAAAAGTATGGACAGGTTGCGGTGTAAGAACTTCACCAATAATATTTGTTTCAACCATATGATCATGGCGATTTTTACCCGTTTGGTGTTTCACTTCCACTTGCTCCAAGACTTTGCTAAAATGCTCTACAAACTGATTTCGACAATATTTATGTTTATCAAGGTAAGGATTTGGACTATTTTCATGATGAAAACAGACCTAAAGCTGATCGTCGTGCCATTAGCAGTCGTAAATTTTGTCGGACTCGCTAAATAAGCAGTTCCATTACCTTCTAGTCGACGCAACTGAGAAACCACTGCATGAGGTGGGGAAGTATTGGTCTCTAAAATGACCGAATGAGTACTAAGATGGTAAAATCTGTAACGAAACAAACAATATACACAATTACCAGCCCCACTAGTACCCGTAAGACGAGTCACACCATTGACTGTGGCCTGTGTAATAGCGTTCGAACTACCAGTGTGGGTGTTTACAGAATGAATTCGTTTACGACTCGAAACCATCGGAGCACGACTTTGATAAACAGCAGACGACATTACATCACTGCGACTCATTGGAGAGACACCAGATAGCACTGCAGCCAGTGTCTGGGCTATATATAATACAATATTTTTATGGCTTCATAATCTCCAAAAAACTACGTCTGGAGAGACTTTCAAGACTTACATTGAGATGAATAAGTGTTTGCAGAAGTCACACTACGCTCATGCTGTTGTTGGAACCCACTTTCCGACCGTACAGTATTCCGCGAATCGAACACCACTACTCCGAGCTGCTGCTCATCACCACCAGCATTTGCTACCGTAACTCGTCGCACATTTGATCCAACAGCAGGTACGCTTGGCCTAACTCTACAAGAAAATGAGTTAAAAATCTGAAATCCAAAAATTCTGAAAACCATTTCAACCAAAAAAATAAGTCCTACAAGGACATACCCTGTATGGACAACCTTTACATAACGATCTCCATCTTTTTGAAAAACAAACCGTTGTCCTTTCCTAAACATACCAATTCAAAATATAATGATGTACGAGCACTATAAAGTATAAGAGTAAACTCTAGTACAAATTCGGTTAAAAATCACTCGAAAACACAAATAAACACACTCTACTGAGATGCTACGTGTTGTTCCATCAGTGGCAATCAAGTCTTCCGCAGATAATCCACAACTCCACCCTCCATCCGAGGCCCGCTCCACAATTCGCCTTACTTCTTCGTTTGTACTACTAGCAGCAGAGTCACGAGATGCATGGCGACTTCTTTTCTCATTTGGCTCTTCCTGAACATGAAGAATATTTGTAGCACCACACAGTTTTGATGGAAGAGTATTTAAGTAAAGAGTATGCGTGCAAAAACACCTCATGATCGCCGCTTGAGAATCCTAAAAGGGAATGCTTCGAATCGGAATTCAGCCCGACCGTAACCACAGCACCAACTTGAGGAATCGTCGTCGACGATCGTAACGACATACCCGAAGGCACAGTAGACATATGGCCTGCAAGAAATTTTAAAATTGAGGAAGTTGTTGTGCGAACTTGACCAACCACTAACATTCGGAGTCAGCGAGAGCCTTTATCGCTGCCATTGCACTTGGAGGAGGTGAAGAAGGAAGACTGCCATTCAGTGGAGAGTTGTTAGACGAAAGAGTCGAAACCCACGATGTTCTATCATTGCTTCGTAAAATAGTCTGCACGATTGGTCGACTATTCATTGTTGAACACGTCATGATCGACGCTATAATGGCAAATAAGTTCTTTATTTTCATTATACAAAAGACAGAAACGAATTAACACTTTTCCACAAGCGCTTCAGTCTGTATTACTCAAAAGTTCTTGCAGCAATTCATCGTGCAGAATGTCGTAATCAAACCCTCCTATATGCTAGATGGGAACGACTGCATTAATACTAAAGAAAAACATCCTTGTCTTGCAAAAAAGCGGACATGATACGATAAAAAAAATTGATGGCGAACAATTAACTACTTCACAGGTCATTCCCAGCATACTAACGCAAAAATACATTGTGCTCTTATTATAATAGGATAAAAGTATAAATCTCTCGGCGTTGATCAATTCCTGAGGGATGTGCCATGTATTAACTTCATTAAGCATCGTTGGAGATGACTGAATGCATATCTAGCCTTTACATGAGTCGCTATGGCCTATCGGTGTATCGACCCAGTGCTGCGATCCTCCCAGACAAGCCTAGTACCAATTTGCCGACCTCGGAGGGATGGAAAGCTTGGGACGGGCCAGGTGCGCAGAGATCGACCCCATGTGCCTTACAGGGCGACTCCGACCACTGCGTCACACGCATCTCCGCTGTTATTAAAACAATCATGCCTTTATTTATCAATAATGCCGCTTTAAAGAAGTCAAATATGTATGAAAACTCACGTTTTGTCAAAGTCTTTAATTCAAATGCTGAAAAAACACCAGTTCCCCATATACCTTCAGGACTCATATCGCCTATTAGGACATCCGCTGAAAGAATACAATTTGGAAGTGGCCATCTATAGCAAAGACAACCGAAGCAGATTCCTGCGTTTGAGATTAAAATAAAATTACTGCTACAATATTTCAGGAAAAAGGATGAAATGAAGGAGAAAAAATAAGCCCATACTCATACTTCAAATCAGTGAACACTTGCCTTTCTGCTTATCATCCATCTTTTGCTCCGGTGTATCTTTTTCGTCTGGATTGCCAGTACGGATAAAATTTGCAAGAAACAAATCCAATTCCCGAACAGCTATGGAAATGTGGTACGGATTGACGCAAACTGCCGGAAAGACACATTCAGCACACTTCTCCAAACGCTCACTGTCTGTACTCTCTAATGGGATTCCCTAAAGCAAACATTCAGAACAGCATAAAACATAAACCACCCACATCCAAACGTAATTCAGTTTTAACCAAAAGTACGTGAATGAATGCCTCCCAACTGTTTACTGCGTCGTCGTGTCTGGGAGGTGTCCCTGGGTGTCGGGCTACGATGTACAGCGGGTGGATCCATCTCCCTGGTAGGGTCTCCCAAGCTGAGAAGGAGTCCGGTGTCTTCATCAGGAAGCCTAGCTAACGGTGAACCGATACCTAGATCCACCACAGTCCTGGTATCAAAATGGTCGCATAGTGGCAAATCTCCCTCTGAACCACAAGGGTGGCGACTGCCTGTTGTGGTGATGACCTGGTGCAGACTGTGGCCAGGCTGACCTCGGGATTCGAGGAAACCACAATGGCTAAACCAGAAACTCTCTGAAAAATGGAGATTATGCTAGGGACCACACAACCAGTAGGGACGGACCATCCAAGTATCCAAGTAAGTAGGTCAGTAAGCCAATGAATGAAAAGTAGAAAATTCACGCTGCAATTCAATTTAAACCAAAATATGAAAGTTCTACGAGAATACTTTTAGGAACATAACAACTAACCTTGAAAAGAATTACCATGACCAAATCTAACCGCCACACTTTATCAGCTTGTCGGAGACAATCGATGCGCCGCATTTTGCCCTTTTGGTCAGGGTTGGATAAAACACATACAGCCGGTTGCTGACCAGTGACCTAACGACACAAATTTCAACGCTATTCTGTATGAAAGATGACGTGAATTGAACTAACCGAAGAAACGAAATCATCCCTGTATTGAGGTTGGATATCCTTCCTCAGCTTACCCAACAACCGAGCCGCCCATTTTTGCTTCACCTCAGCCCTTTCGTTCTAAACATTGCGCTTTATAAACCTTTCTAGTATAAAGAACACGGTACAGCGAACGATATTTAACGTACAAATCGAGACAAAAGATACATTAGAAGTAAAAGGTGATGAGATAGCGGACCATGCATGAAAAATCACCATTAATTCTTCCTTTACACCGGTCTCCTCCTCTAACGTCATTCGTTTTTCATGTCTTTTGAAATATCTACGTTTCGCAGCTTGTAGATTGAACCACACATAGGAAAAGTCCTTTACATAAGGCAACAGTGCCTCAACAAATGGATGATATTCGTCCTAAACGAAGATGTAACTTTGATCATTAAATTATATGGTGACTTAATGGTAAAATCTACTCAAATCGATGTAAATTTGCAAAAAAGAAAAAAAACACTCACTACACCATTTGGACTAAATTGATTTGTCCAATCTCCCGATGGTGGAGGCATTGTGTTTCGACTAATTTGCTTTACTGCTGTCACAACGCCAATATCTTGACTTGGAGAACCATCTATATCCACCTACAAAATTAATTTGAAATAAAGTACGTGAAACTAGCGTCATAAAAAAGATAAAGAATAAAATGCGATACAACCACAATGAGGCTGAGATATCTGCAAAACACCGAACCGCAGGTGTCTACGATGGGTAACGAACGCACTATTACCCTTTCCGGGGTTAACGCGTTCACCACCACATCATACGGGTCCTTCGTTTCACCTGTCCCTTAACTACTTTTCTATCAACCAGCCATCAACGTTAATTCTCTATTTACTGCCTATTACAATTTTTCATGGCAGGGCATTACAGAAAAAAAAGAATAAAGTGTTCGGCGACCAACGACACCAGCGAAAAGTGTCATTCATTCCTGTTCATCAAACATCGTAGAGGTGAATGAACGCATATTGGACTTTTAGGATGACTATCGATAATAGCAAGTGTCAACAAGTCCTGTACCATATAGTGATTCCGTGGTAAAATGTTTGCCTTGGACGGGGTACACTAGAATATAGTGGGAAAAGGAACTGCATGGAGAGTGAGTGATAAGGTCACCGATGTAAATTCCGATATTTTCTCCAGTACGTAATGCATGCATACTGGGCGCGTGTAGCGCAGTGGTCGGAGGCGGCCTACAATACCCACGGGTCGATCTCCGCGCCTCAGGCCCACCAAGTCCTCCATCCCTCGGGTGTCGGCAAATTGATACGACTTACCTGGGAGGGAAAGCAGAATTGACTCGATACATGGGCAGGCTACCGCGAGCCATTGTAAAAACGCCAAATATGCGTTCAATCACCTCCAACGATGCTTAATGAAATCGAATTCATGGCGCATCCCTTAGGGATTGATCAATGCCGAGAGCTTTACCCCTTTACTTTATGTACTAAATAAAGGGACGTACCACATGTAAATGGTAATATCACTCTAGATCGAACGGAATATGAAATACATGGATGTAGGTCTGCTCTAACAATACCAACCTCAAGGTGCTGATCCATCACCGGGCTGAAATATTGATGCCGTGAACTCCACACGGTACAAGGGCGGCACCGATGTCGATGTCGGATTCTTGAGTGTCAAATCACCATCTAAATCTATAACTAAACGACTGGTTTAACAACCAGTACTGTTAAAAAGTAGACGTAAGGAGGTGGAAGGAAAGATATACGGCACAAGATCAGACCGTCAATTATATGCAAGAAAATAGAGAGGTCAAACGAGAGTACGTCATCCAACAAAGTCCAAGAGATGCAGAAACTGACAACTTTCATCATTCACCACCAAACCAAGTTCTTACATAGGACAATGAAGGCTCTCTGTAAGCAGAACCAACCATCGCGTCACTAGTGGATGCGCGTAACCCTCTAATGGCAAAATTATGGAATATATCGAATGCTTAAACTCTATGGAACTACAAAGTCCTAGTAGAACGAGGATGGGCGACATCTTTAGCACCAAAATATGTGGTCACGAATCTCATTTCGACTTTTGACGGTCTCTAACGACGTGCGTCGCTCTGAAGAAGTCGATAAGTCGGGAATCGCATTTGCGAAGCCACTGTCAACCTCACCATTGAAATGACAGAGAACCTTACTCACCATGACAGAAAATCCTGATACTTGCTAAAGATGGAGCATGATCTGAAGAGATCCAGAGAAACTTGGCAAACTGTCAAACTTTGTATTAAAGGACACCTGCAAATCACTAATACCGTAATCCAGGCGGGAAATTTGAAAAGTGAAAGACCGAGTGCTGTACAGTATTGTAGTGGTACTGCTGTGCTACTTCTTGTATCCACATTTCCCTTTTTGCTTCGGATCTTCACTTGATCTGATGTTGTTTCTCTCTTTTTAGCCTAATAAATGATTCATTTGTGGTGCCTACTTTTATATTTTGCCCGCGTTCGTATTTTTCTAGGAATGTAGGTTTTCGGGGTAAATATTTTTCTCTTCATCGATATGACCACTACTAAATTTACTGCAGTATAACGGTGTAGCGCAGTGGTTAGAGGTGCACTACAGTACACATGGGGTCGAACCCCGCGCGCATGGCTCACCAATCCTTCCATTCCTCCAGCGTCGGCAAATTGGTACCAGATTTGTCTGGGAGGATAGCAGCACTGGCTCCATTCCTTTTTTTCTTTTGTGGGAAATATTTCTACAATAGTATTCTGACGATGTTCTTTCATGCTGTCCTCATAGCTTCTCCTTCATAATTAAGTCTAAATTTTCGGCGACATCTACATGCTTTTTGTTAAGCAATACTTTCTTGTCTCCGATCCATGTACGTCATCAGTACGTGCCGCACGTCATATTTAAGTCTGATCGATTGAAACTTCAAGCCACCAAATAACTGGAGTACTGTGGAATAACTATTTAATCTCATACTGTTACCGAGGGATTGGAATGGAATGAGCTGGCTCAGAGGGTGTCTTGCCACTGCGACCAAGACTACTCATAGCAATTCACAATTCCAGAAACCCCGCCCACAGTAATGAACATGAGTGTCCCCCAGTGGAGATTACCATAACGAACTAGACCACATCACAATAAACCGAAGGTTCTGCCTAACCGATGTAGCTGTTTTACGAAACTTGAACCTCTACGAGTGATTCCACTTCTCGCAGAAGGTGAAGATAGCTGCTAAGTTCAAAAACGGACTCCCAAAATTAGAGGCGGTGATTTATTTAGATCTTAGACGACTCTTGGGAACATGCCGTTATTGATAACAGTGACGAGGAGAATAGCGCTCTCGTTCAACATCTTCAAGTTAGCCCCTTGAAATTTGAGAAGTCACTAAGGGACGTCTGTCTCCAAAAACACTCCAGCTGATACGCCAACGTGGAATCGCGCGACCCATAGGCAGCGCCCCATTATGTAGAAAGGCAATGAAAGAAGATTTTTAAAAGAACGACAACAGTTATGGCCGAAGCTTCAGAGGTGAGAAAAGCATTCGCAAAGCCCACCGAAGCTTCGCCAATTATACAAAACCAAGATGGTTGCACTCCGACGCTCAGTTGGAACAGTTACAGCTTCAAAGGCACTGGACAAAATCGTTCACGATTACAACTCAGATCTCTCAAAGAGTGCTTACTCGATGTATAAAGATTCTTCGTGAGCTGTACAAAAATTTTATAAGATATCAACGTTCTACAATGATATCGAGTTAAAAGGGAGGTTAGGCTAGGCGGTACCATGTCGCCAAAATTATTTACCGCAACCCTCCAGAAAGTTATGCGAAAACTGGAATGGGACAACATCGAGTGAAAATCAATTGTCGGCAATTAGATCATCTTCCCTTTACTGATGACATCGTTCTTATAACGCCACAAATTAGCCAAGCGGAACGAATGCTTGCCGACATTGATAAAGCCAGTGAAAAGATTGGTCTTCGACCAAACCTCGCAAAAACGGTGCTCATGAGGAACGGATTGGTTTCTTATCACTTTTCACGCTCGACGGAACGAATGTCTCCGAATGCTCCAGTTACTCCTTTCTAAGTCAGGAAATCATCGTGATGAACGACTTAGCTCCAGAGTTGAGAAGGAAACGAGCGACTTGAGAAGCTTTCAGGAGCATCGAGGATGTAGTGAAGAGAACAAAAACCGTCATTACGGTTATGATTCTAGTTCGGTTCCGCTCCGAGCCAACCAATCCTCTCATCTCTCCGGGATCGGGAAATTGGTACCGGACTTCTCTGGGAAAAATCACTCTGCAATCCAAATGGGAACGCTCCAACCCGACTATCTCAGGACTCCAGGGAGAATTGCTCGGCCAGCATTCCATGACATTCAAGATGAAATGAAAATCCTCAAACAGCAGCCGAAACCACACGTAAAGTTGAAAGGTCTTCGTGGACAGTGGCTGCGTGGGAAAAAACTGAATTCGAGAAGTGCTGTGATCAGCACAGTAGACATGAAGTTGGGTCAAATAAAGAAAAATTCCGACTATTCTGAGCTTCGTTGTGAAAATAATGGAGGTTATGGTCAGTGTACGGCCGTTTAGTATGAGTTAATTATCCATGTGTATTTGAGCTCTATAAGGATACTTCATTGTGGAGAACGCCATAATCAAACCCTACTATATGCCAGTTAGCAATGACTGCATTAATACTAAAGAAAAACATCCTTGCCTTGCAAAAAAGTGGACATGATACGATAAAAAAACGGTGAACAGTTAACTACTCCATAGATCATTTCCCGCATGCCAACGTAGAAGCACATTGTGTTGTTATTGTAATCGGATAAAAGGATAAAGCTCTCATCGTTGATCAATCCTTCAGGGGTGCGCTATACATTCGACTTCGTTAAGCATCATCTGGAGGTTATCGAATGCACATCTGGCCTTTTCAATGACTCGCGGTGGCCTACCGATATATCGAGCCAGTGTTGTTATCCTCCCAGACAAGTATAGTACCGATCTACCGACCCCGGAGGGAGGAAGGCTTGATGAGCCCTAGGCGCAAGGATCGTTCCCAAGTGAACTGCAAGGCGCCTCCGACTACTGTTCTACACGCGCTCTGCAATGCAATACTTATGGAAAGCACTGAGTATTATAAGAAATTAGCATGTCAGGATGTCAAAATATCAAACCTGTTGCAGAATTTGCCAAATAGAGCGCTACTAAAAGTAGTCGTTGTTGGGAAGCCAACTCATATTTCCAGTGATTCTCAGAAGTTGGTGTAAATTTTAAAATCTCTATGTTATAAGTTGTGAATTTTTCACCGCACAAGTTTTACAACATCCTTGCAACGATAAGATAAAAGGGTTAAGAACTTGTAAAGGCTTCGAGAAGGCTGTGTGGTAAACTGAACATTCACTTTCTGCGTGTCGAGCCTTTTAAAAATAAACTGTCGTGATTTTTCCATAAACTTGAAGGAGCTGTGCTAGCAGTAGTGTTATTGGAATTATAATTTGTAAAGAATAGGGGTTATAGTATCAGTGGAGAAATATTGCAATACAGCGAAAATTTCCATGGCAAGGAAGCGATCAGAAAGAATATGGGTGGACCGTATTTGTTATACCTCATCTTGGTCGGATTGCTCAGCCACGAACGCAGCGTATTTGGTTCGTCGCAGTTCCGCATTTCTCTCGAGGAGATGACAAACACTGATCAGGTGTTATAATGAAATGTACAAAAGGCATGTGTTTGCCATGATCGATATGAAGATAGGATCTACATACCTCTACCTGGATCTGTAGGATCTTTCTTAACATCGACTTCACCTACATATGTCCAATTGGTTCACTAGTTTATAATTTACTGCATTTGGAGTCTATAACTCCACTGAAGGCATTTTCATTAGCGGCTTGTTGCTCAGAAGGTTTTCTATCAAACATCAGTTTTTGACATATTTGGGAATGGGGCCAGTCTATCTTCAGTTCTTCCGACTTCTATGTAGCCCATTTAGCGGAATTGTACCTCTTAACTGTGCCACGCTAACCTCATTCTTGGTTCATTTTGTGGACCTCGTGACAGTGACAGTGTCGAGCTTTGAGCAACAGGAAACTAATATCACTTTATGAACACGGACAGGGAAGTCATCGAAACGTTCTCAAACTGATAATTTCGTATAAGGAAGTGCTTCAATACCTTAGCCGTTTCTAAACCTACGCAGAATGTCGTCACTTGTACGACAATGAATTTCTTGTAGTTTCTTGTAGTTGCACGCTGTGAAATGACCAAGACATGGATCATGTTACTTGTTCAAAGCCGTGCAGCGAAGTCTACGCTTTAAAATGATGAATAGTGTGGACACAAAGCTGCAGAACTTTAGCTGGAAGTAAGGTGTCAAGGTACGAATAAAAATAAAGTGAATCGTTATTTTAACAACCGAACGGTTGGGAGAATCGACTAAAACAGCTGCTATTAGGGTCTACATTGGTCATCCTTGCGTGCAGTAGTCCCTCCACTAATTTATGCTTGCTAACGGAACTCTGAAGATATACCCAAGACCGACTTTCTGTTAATCTCGGCATTAATTGATAATTCAATGTTTTTCTTCAATAAGCAGACACGAGGTTATTAACATAGAATTTATTAGAATACAATAGCAGACGTTTCGGCTGTTTCGCCTTCTTCAGAGCCGTTTATTTGTTGTAAGTATTTAAGTTAGTTGATGGATAGCCGCCGCACAGTAATACATGGGTGGTAACTGTTATTGCTACGAAGATTTGTATTTCATGTTATGTTTATGTAGCACTGGTGTTCACCATCACCTTGGAACGGCGACAGTTTTTGGATACTTGAACAAGGGTCGCGTTAACGAAAACTAAGCAGGCCGTTAAGACGATAGGGTGACAATGTGCCTTCGAACAGAGCTAGGGCGGAGTTCCTTGCTCACTGGTATTCATAATAGTGTTTTGTTATAGGTAGTAAAATGGTCTCAGAGAGTTGTTGAATGTCAAATTGCAATGTATAACTGGTAGTTTATCCATCAGAGGTGTCTCCCAAGCTGAGGATAAGGTTGACGTTTTCATCCGTAAGAACACGTAAGAGTAAACCAGTGCTGAATCACCACTGTCCTAGTACCAAACTAATCGAAAGTTGCCAAATCTCCTTCTGATGCAGAAGGGCCGTCGACTGCCTGTGGTGACGGTCTGAGGATGCGTTCTAGCTGCATTAGCTCGCGGCTCTAGATACAACAAGTAGTTCAGTTGGCCGTAAAAGTGCAGTACCACGGACTAATGCTCTGCCTACAACTTTAGGCGGTGGAACAATCCGTGAGAGGTAGTGAAATATCGACCTGCACAGAACATTGTGACACCCTATGGAGAATCTTTACTGCACTGAATCTATGACATCGAAGCAAATTCTTTAGGCACCGCTTATCGTAATACTCCAAGTAGCGTAGAATTTTTTTCTGTGGACACCCCAAAAACCCGAAGACCGACTTATGCTTATCAAACTATGGGACACTTGTTATTCGTGTACGACGAATAAGTGGTAATAACGCAGATCACCTCATGGCAATCCTATTTTCGGCGAAGATGTTGACCACCTTTTTGCATAGGGTAGCGATGTTCGTCATCACGAGCATGGTGCCGGTTCGATTCTGCTTCGGGCCAACCAATCCTCTCATCCCTTCGGGATCGGGAAATTGGTACCGAACGTGTCTGGAAAAATCGCTCTCTGCAAACCAATTGGGAACGCTCCAGCCCGGCTATTCCAAGACTCCAGGGAGAATTGCTCGACCAGCATTCTATAACATTCAAGCTGAAAAGGAAATCCTCAAGCAGCAACCAAAGCCACACGTACAGTTGGAAAATCTTTGTGGATAATGGATGCTAAGAAACTAATTGAATATAGGAAGTGTTGGGATCCGCACAGTAGACGTGAAGATGGGTCAAATAAAATAAGAAGATTTCTTAGCATCTTGCTGGTACTTAGAGGTGCTGTTTAGACACTATATTCATTCTGAAATATCTATTGTAGAACCGCCTGCATGAGAAGTAGTTTATTCTAAAATTTAAAATGCGGGAATAACGTCTCTTCCAACTGTGTAATTGTAAACGTTTTCAAAGTGTACGATGCTTACGCAGATATGTCGAAACTTAGAACTGATAACCAAAGTGTTGCTGAGATATTTGTAAAACTCCGGAGCGCAGTTGTCATCGGTGGGAAACGAATGCGCTATTACTCTTTCTGGGGTTAACACGCTCATCACCACACCATGCGGGTCCTTCGTTTCGCCTGACTCTCAGCTAGTTTTATCGATTAGTCCCATCAGCAATCATCTGTCAACGGGATTGATCTAGGAAGCCCTGATCGGCAGTTTAAGCTGAAGCTGTAGTTGAAATTACAATGGTTTTTTCAAGAACTAGCCGAGAGGCTGGCGAAACGAAGGACCCGAATGGTGTGGTGGTGAAGACGTTACCCCCCGAAAGGGTAATAGCGCGTTTTTTCCCCACCGCAGATACCTGCGGTCCGGAGTTTTGCAAATATTTCAGCATCATCGTGGTTGTATTTCGTATTATACTCTGCCGTGAAAAATTATAGTAGTCACCAAATAAAAAGTTAGCATTAGGTATAGTATAGTGGCGGCTGCGTTGGATGCACTTGCGTGGTAGTGACCGTTGAGCCGCTCACTACTTAGTAGTAGTTCAG